CCTTACGGGTAGAACCACGTTGTAGGTGTTCTCGGTAGTCAGCAGACCCGAGTCGGGAGGTTTCCGTCGGACGGAAACCGGACTCGCACCCGGCGGTCTGATAGACAACGGACGACGTGTTGTTAAGTGCCTAAGTTGACTCCCAACTAAAGCTTATCCAAGGCGCAGAAAAGCCTTTGTATATGCGTGCAAATGTGTAAGGGCATAGCTAATAGCTTAAGGGCACAAATAACTTAAAGAGTGCAAGGATAACCATTCTCAGTTACTTACACTAAATAGATGAGGAGAAATGCAATGGTGCACACAGAGGGCCTGTTTCACAAGGATACTTAATTTAAGGCGCCTTAAATTTAGGAGCAACTTAAGGAGTTACTTAAGGTATACTTAAGAAGTACTCAACTCATTTCACAACGTTTAGAAGCAACTTAAGGAGCTCCTTAACTTAAGGCGTACTTAAGTATTCCTAAAATTAAGGCGCCTTAACGTATTTACTGAAGTAGTGAAATAGGATGTCCTAATTACTCAAGGTATACTTTAGGCGTTATTTAAGTTTAAGGCGCAATTTGCTCCTATGAAACAGGCCCAGAGTGACTCAGCTAAAGAGACATAATGCTCAACTACTGCCTGATTACAGCATATAACAGAGTAAATCCCTTAACCTAACCAACTGGGCTGCACCACGAAAATACACAATGATTTATGGCGTGCTACGGTCGCAACTTCGTTTACTTTCGAGCCTTTGTGTGTCTTGGTTCACTCGTGATTCCGAGACTGCTAATCGTCACTACGAATCACCAAAGTATCACGACCTCTCACATATCACTCTGCTTTCACCCTCAATCGCAAGTGAATGTCTAGTCTACACTGTCGACCAAACATTCAAACCTTTATTCTGTGAGTACAACGCCTCGAACAACGGCAGATTCAATTCTTGTTCGACTTGGGATGAGTTGTAGCTTCGCCGGTGATGAGCGAGTGGTATCGCACATATCTTTATGGAGAAGCAGGAAAGCCAACGCTAAAGCTTGGATATGTAAATATCGGACAAAGTCATTGTGACACATGATGCTACTAGCTTTACCGACCATTTGCTCATACGAGTAATAGACTTTTGTCATTGTAATGCTTCATCATGTTCAGTTTCTAGTTGTTGTTATTCTTGCTATGTCCTCCGACGACTGTTGTAACGATCGAAGAGAGAACTGTCTGGTGACAGTGGTCGGGTCTCTGAGTGCGGATTTCACATTCCGTTGTAGATTACCCAGATTACCAAAGCCTGGTGAGACTGTACCCGGTGATAAGTTCACTCAGAGTTGGGGTGGTAAGGGTGCCAACCAAGCAGTTGCTGCTGGCATATTACTCTCTACTAACGACTCCGATACGCCGATGGTCCAGATGATAGGGTGTGTGAGTGCTGATGACGGTCTTGGAACTGCATACAAGGAGCATCTCAAGGAAACTGGTGTTGGTGCGGATTACCTAAACCTCTTACCGGGAACTAGTAGGATCATGTAGTCATTGATCTATTGTATATGAACCTTCGTTAGGTACCGGTGTGGCAGGGATTATCGTATCAGGAGCAGCTGATGCAGAGAATAACATAGTGGTGGTCCCGGGCACCAATGGAATGTTAACTCAAGCCATGGTAATAATAGGAGATATATTTTCTTGCTTGCGTTATTTGTTGGAATATGGCATAAACTCGATATACTCTAGAATGTATTTATGCACACCATCGACACGCCATAACTGTATTGTCAGATTAGTGGCTGTCGTGAAGTAGCCAAGGCTATCGAGACATCGAAGGTAATTAGGATTCGTATATCGTGCTATTGAGATATGCTCTCATATATAGGTGTTAGTACTCCAATGTGAGGTTCCAGTTGATGCTGTAGTAGAATCCCTTCGAGTAGCATCTAAGTCCTCCAATACCCTCTCACTGCTCAACGCAGCTCCAGCCCCTGTAGTACCTGGGCAGCAACTGCCTCGGGAGGCTCACAAAATGGTTGATATATTGGTTGTCAACGAGGAAGAGGCTGCGGCTTTAGACCATCTACTAAGCGGCAAGAATGAGTCCTCCGCTGACGTTACGGCGGACCCCAAAGCAGCAATAGCCATGGCTGATAGGCTGTTGAAGAGTTCCGGGACCAAGTGGTTATGTATTGTGAGTCTGGGTGGTGCTGGATGCGCATATGCTTGCGTGGATGGGAGTAGCGGTGCATTGCCGTGCCCTAGTGCTCCATCTGATAGGGATAAGTACTGTACATCGACTGTAGGAGCTGGAGACTGTATGGTTGGCAGTATGGCTGCTTTGCTCGCTTCTGGGGAGAAGAATCCTACAAGGTGAGCAGTTTCGTGGAGACTGAGGGTAATAGTGGATATTCCTGTATTCAGACTCTGTAAACTCTCTATGAGTGTAGCGACTCAAGCTGTTTTCGGTTGCCCTAGTAGAGCTAGAGGGGAACATGTTTGCACATGCAATGCCCCTGGGAAGACCCGTAATGCGGGAATGATTCACGATCGATATCCCAAGCTCCAACAGTGTAATGTGGAGGTCCAACAAGTTATCAACAAACACCTTAACCGCCATCATTAACCGCTACCATTCTTAATTGTTTAGTTGTTGTTGTTGCAAGTGTATCTGTTTTATTATTGTATGGTGATGATGATTCTGGTCCTGTTATGATGATGACCGTGGTTATCCACTACCAACTATAGTGATTTTCTGTCTAGTAGTATCCCACTCGTGGTTGTGTTGGATAGTAATAAACAGTGGGGGACGATGATCATAGGCATGCTCAAAAGGTTGATAATAATAAAAGTTGGGTGCATGGATGCAATAGCGGATTTGAAGGTTGTAACGGGCCGATTGAGGCAATTACACGCAGAAGTTATACGCGATGATAGCAATCGGAATAGGGAAATCCATGGCGCTAAAAGGTAGGGGGTCTGGCGGGTAGCCGCCATGTTGTCGGAAAGTTCATCAGACTGGAGTATACACGTCTAGCTAATGCGAGACGGAGGAGTTTTATGGAGGATATGAGTAAGTTGGACGGATCTGTCAAGGTTGTTGTGTGATATCCCACATAGTAAGGGAGAGTGTAGGGGTATGATCAGGTGATGACTCCGAAAAGCGTGGAGAAATAGCAAGGACGTTACTGAGGGCGATGGTTGGCGAAGGTATCCTCCGACCTGCAATGAGGCTATAGATATACGCTGTCAGACGGTGATGATGATTCGAAGAGCATTGGTCATCTATCGAGGTCGTCTAGTCTTAGTAGCGATGTGATGAATGATGTCACATCGTATGCTGACCTTGCACGGTGTCTGAATGTGTATATGATGGAAACTGGCTCGGTAGGCTCCATTGTGCTGCCCGTCCATTACATCATCATTATCGATCATCAGGCCCTCTATGATGTCAAGAAGGCCATCGGTGGTGCCCGAACAGGTCTAGCGAAAAAGGCAGGTTATACTATTGTGCCGAAGAAGAGGAAAAATACTAGCAAAAAGTAGGATGGTCATATACGTTACACTCGAGCACTCGGTTTAGGTCTAAAAAGATGGAGAAGCTTTTTCGTGGATGGGCGAAACATAAGGTTACCAAGGAGGAAATCGGTAGACATGAGGTTCTCTTCGGTCCTTGATACTCGTATTACCACCTCTGTATTGTAAGTTGAACTGCAGAAGCAACTGGCCGCTCTGAATGAAGCTGTTCGGATCGCTTCTGGATCCTCTAAAGAAATGACCGTGGAAGTCGGAAACAGTAGGCGTGTTAGCCGCATGCAGCCTTCATGGTGGAAAGCCGTTGAGACTATTGAGTAGGATTCTGCTATAGGGGTTGGGGGAATGACCTTAGTAGATATGATCCTGATGCACCGAATGCTCTGATACAATCTGCTAAGAAAGGTTTCATCTTAAGGTTGTTGAAGCGGAAGTTAGAGCAGAAGGAATTGCAGCTTAGTGGTGAGGCTTCGTAGGATTGGTTATAATGGTATATACAACGGGCCAGTGGTTGGAGGGGGGGCGATTATCCTACACTAGGAACCAAAATGGACAAGGCACAACGGTCAGAAATCGCCGAGCTGAAGCAGGTCATTCAAGCCCTCGAGCACGGGACCCCACTTCCAAAGGCAAGAAGACATTCCACTCATCGGGAGCCATTAATATAAATCTATTATCTACAACAAGCTCAATGAAGATCCGTTGATGCGATTACACAAACAGCTGTGGTTTATGATCAGGAGCGCTTCAAGTCTATTTGCGCCTTCAGCGAGGGTCGAGAGCATCTTACAAGAGAGGAAGTGGAAGCGTAGGTGAAACCATGCTCATTTTACAACTCTGTACATCGGTCATTATCACCTTGCTCTTGCTAACATACTGTAGTATGTTGCCGCTCACGCAGATCAACACGCGCGGCGATCGAGGAATCCAAACGCCTACGAATCCAACTAGCACAGAAGAAACACCTGATTAGTGTGGCCGAGAAGACTATACAAATGATCGATAAGGGAATGGACCTTCTCGAACCATTACAGCGAATCTTTGGAGGTGCGACGAGTAGCATCTTCAGAGGTAAACTATTATCACCTCGCCATCCCCTATACTCTGTAGTCAGGCTCCAAACCTAGAGATGGTGGCGAGTCACGTCCAGTGAGGAAAGAGGGAGAAGCAGGGGACTCGGTTATTACTGAATTATCGACCGAGAAGAAGGTGGATTATGGGGACGAGCGAGGTTGATTTCCGATCCGGACAGCTCCCTGCCTACAGGTGGTATCCTTCAATTTCGGAGGAGCTAGTCGGAGGGGCGTCAAGGAAGTAAAAGATGTGGACTCTGGTGGTCAGATGGCCCCCAAGGTGGGCAGTTGGATTGCCGCTTGCCTGTATGATAAGGATGCACATGATGTTATTTTGTAGAGAGTTTGTGGTCACATGATGAATCATTAGGTCGGAATACTACGTCGAACGAGTTGATGGAATAACAGCCGTACACTGTTAATTGTGTTGTCATGGAGGATTGTTGTAATGATGGCATGCTACATCCTTTCACATTACTAACAAGTCTCGTTGGGTTTATGCTAACGTTGCGAGTCGAAACTAAGATGCGGCAAGTTCGGACAGAAGGGAGATTATTCTACGAGGAAAAGGAAATGAACTACAATGGAGTGATTAGGGATTAGATTGTTGCCAGGGCTGTGTTCGCGAAGTTGGTGTGTAGCTATTTTGGCAACAAAGGGACTCTTGCTCATTATCTACTACCTCAATAACTCGGATCATTTAAACGGTGTAATAATCTTCTTGCAATGATAGAATAGTAAGGATATCGTCAATGTTACTCAGCAGGGGAACTGTCAGTACTGATGCTGCTACTCGGTGGAGAGGCAGCGGCGCTTCCACCATTCTCGAGGTTACCAACATTCGCAGTAGTTGAGGTAGGAGCTCGGCGATGATGCCGCACCCCACCACCGAACCGTGGAGGAAGGCTAGGTTTATGTGCTGTCTCTTGATCAGCACTATGAAGGGAAGTCTGCCCGAGGGACATCACATAATATCCACTTGAATATGCATTCCCGCCGCTTACCGCTCCCGGACTATTATTACGACTACCCAAGCCAGCACTGAGCCCACCGCCCCATACGTTAGCATCTGGACTTTCCGGTGACCCTTGTTCATGTTGTTGGCTTTGAGTGGGTGAGAGAGTACCACCATATCTGAGGTACTCATAGTACATCCCTATAGTCAGCTACCTAACGACGACTCACATTGCAACCCGTCGACGTTTATTCTCAATGTCATTCGAATCCTTTGATACCGTCATCCCTGACCTGAACTTCCATGCTGCTTTGTGGCTCCACAAGAGACATGATCACTTATAGGCCTCCATTTCTGCCTCTATTGAGGCAACCCTCAATTCAGCCTCAGCCACCTCGAACTGTTCCTCTATTCCACGCTCACACAGTGCCGTCGCTTGCCTGAAAATGTGACGTTGAGGATGTCGAATAGGTCGTAACCTACCTGATAGCAACGTCGATAACAGCTGCAGTGGTGGTATCACAGTAGTCATAAGCGGCTTTTAATTTGGGATCATCCAGGACACAAGCCGGCCTGAATCACAGTGAGTCATTCCTCGAGCATTATAGTAGGTTGCACCATACCCCGGAGGAGCGACCAAATCGTCTAGACTAAGCTCCTTGAAAACGGGCTTCGCATTAGTGGAGTCCTCTTTCTCAGTCTCCCCTTGGGATGACCGAGAGGCATCATGCTTATCTGGATCAGTTTTAACGTGTTGACCGCTTCCATCACTAGGAGTTGATCGATGTTGGCTGAACAATGTTCAAAGCCTTAGATGACTCCAACAATAAATCCTTTCTTACACTTCAATCTCCTTCATACCATCACTCCTGCTACTGTTAGCAATACCACTAAGCTGATGGCCTTCACTTTTCATCATTGACGATATTGGGTTTGCACTGGCTAGATACTGTTGAAGTTGTTGTTCGGGTGCCATCACTCCTCCTGGTACCTTGATGACAGAATTATGAGGATACCACAACCTGCGACCGACCCCTGGCTGCGAGCCAAATGCTTGGGGTTGTTGTTGCATGAGAATGCTGCTGCCTGGCGTTGGGAATCCTGAAAAGATGTCTCCTAGTCTTAGTAAGATGAATGATAGTAATTACCAGGGAAGCCAGAGGGCGGCGGAAGGGTGGGGTAAGCAGCCATAGGAGGATTGGGTATAAGAGGGATGCCAGGCATCATACCATAAGGTGGCATCATGGGGTATGTCACTGGTAGAGGCCCTGGTAAGCCCTGTGGTGGGAGGGGTGATGGCGTCGGCTGGATGGTAGAACCGAACGGGGGCAGAGGGGGCTGTGGTTGTTGTTGCTGCGAGTTGTTGTTGTTGTTGTTGTTGATGATGTTATACGGGTTATAGGACATTATAACCGCAAGGATGTCATCATGAAAACGACACTGTAAGGATACTGACGAGTGTGCTTACCACGGCCTGAAATTAATACGTATGCATCATTCGGAAACAACAATGGGCAGAGTGGATATAAGAGGGATAACTCCATGAATATGGGGATAATAGCTATTACACTTATCGTCATCATCATTACTCATATTACTAGCACCACTGAACGAACCTAACAGCTGTTAGCTTGATGGTAACCTCGCATACCCAATATGTCCACCATGATGCCCTCCCTAGGCTGTTACATGTCTTTAATATGTCTTCTGTTCACTTGAATGATTGGATCATGTAAGATAATCGTCTGTTGACCATCATACCCAATGTTCTTGTTGTTGTTGATGCCATCATACTCTATGAGTCCACATATCTCCACCTGCCATTGCTATTACCAGCATCTCA